CTTGTTTGCGTGTTCTGTTACGCCGTAGCTGAATGACCGAATACGACCGTTTAGTTCATCAAGGCTAAATCTGCCCTGTTGTATGAGCTCAGACAGGACAAGTTTCATCTCAAATGGAAGTAACCCTTCTAGGAAATCGTGCATCAGGTCAGGAGCATAGTTTTGTGATACGTGGTAATAGCTCAGTGAATTGAGAGCACATGATCTCCGGAGTCCTGTTTGGGATACATCTTTTAAACTGATATCATAATCAACGTTTTCTTTAGTACGAAGTAACCTTTCATCAACAACTACCTGTTTTCTGCATATTGCCTTAAGTGCCTTGCAGAACCTGCAATAGTAGTTTGCACTAAAACTTCCAGCAAAGCCAAGTATGGTATTGAGAGCCAAGTTATCACCGACTGCCTGGAGAAGTCTGAGACGAATGGTGCCGTTGAATCCATCTGGACTATCTATATGAAGACCTTCGGTAAAGAGAACTTCAAGATCATCAGAAATACGCTGCAGAACAGCATTAACACCATATTTGGACACAAGAGAAGATTTTGCTAAAGCGACCAAAAGTACATTTTCAAGCTTAGCTTGATATTTCTTGGGCAAAGAAGCAACAGTTAAATAGACTCCAAGAAGTTTGTGTTTCCCTTTCTTTGAACCGAGGGGATTTGCTGTCTCGAAGTCATCATTATAGAGTAACAATTCAATATCCAAACAGTTTTGTTTCCCTTCAAAAGTACTATAATATGATCCATCTCTATAAGTCTGAAGAACTTCTTTCTCACCAGCACTGTCTTTTTCTTGACTGATGACCGACATATAGCCTGGTTGTTCCAACAACACTTTAAGACTGTCTCCTATTGGCACATACTGAAAAGTTTCATCAACTTGTTTTTGCTCAGTCCTTCCAGTACGCACGTTCAAACATTCTCTGTATGCTTTGCCCAAAACAATTTCTTCTGGCTCAATAAGAACTTTACATTCGTGGGCATATTGGTTTTGCTTGTGGACAGTAGATAAACTGAAATAATCAAATGGATCTTTCACCATGTGGAGGACTGACTGTAGACTGTCAATTTTATCATCTGACGGTTTGATATCATGAGCTATGTCCTCAAGGACGGGGGCTGACACTTGTAGAACTGCTTCATTTACATTCCTGAGCAGCTCCCGTGTGTCACAAATGATGCTTTGCACAGTAGATGATGGCAGGGAAGAGCTTTTAAGTTTTGCTACATATTCAGAAACAGAATGTTTGATATTTGCTGATATTTCCTCGTTGGGTTTTTCATTTGGCAGCACTTCTGACTGATCTGATACACTTTCATCATCAGAAACAGCATTTCCATGAGAATCTTCATCACTGACATTTTGTGCAATGGAATCATGATATTGTAAGTGCCGCTTGTAGCTATAACCATGATAAAATGTTTTAAAACATTCTTGCACATGACACACAAGTTTTGTTCTGGTCTTCGTATTGATGTTATGGATCTTTAAATGGTTCCATAGATCCCCACTTTTTTCAAATGATTTCACACATTTGCAACACGAAAACATTTTCTTTCCAGGAATATCTTATGGCTGCTTACTAACCTTTCTCTTCCAGTTATCAAAACGGTCAATGAATTTAAGTCTTGGACCCAACTGCGGGATCACGTCCTTCACAAGACTTGCATCAAGCAGCTTGAATGCTGATGAGTCAATGCCACAATCTAAATGGAAAGAAAAAGATATGGTAAATTCCACTTTTTGTAAAAAATTATCAATTATCAATACAACAATGATTAACTAGGTGTGATTCAATCCATACAGAATACATGACAATCGCATTTTGACTTCAGTCATTTCTATCTAGGGTCTATATCTAAGTTAGATGTAGACCCCTCGGCTCTATACATTTGTAGGATCTAGCTTTGTTCTTAATGATTTGAGTCAAATAAAAAACAAAAACAAAAAACACCTGTAGGAAAAAAAATAAATAAAGAGGATTTATCTTTGTTATATTTTGTTTGGTATAAACAATTCTCCCTATCTCATATCATTTCGGGCAAACTCAGAATTCGGAAGTCTTCCGATTTCGGCAGTCTTTTAATTATCATAGACATGTAGGCCTAGACTCTAGAGTCTAGTCAGTAGCCTAGAATCTAGATCAGATGGAGTAAATATATAAATGCTATACAATGTTGATTCAAGATCAAAGAAAAAGCTGTACTGCTGTAGACCTAGTTTTAACTTAGACACAGCATGCACAGACCAAAATCAGGTACCAGCTAGGAGACAGGACCGCACGCGACCACGGCCGGCTCAGCCCGGGGCTGCGCCACCCAGTACAACGGCTGTGCGTTCGAGCTGCAATACCCAGTGCCCGATCAGACAGTACCAAAAAAAAAAATCATGTTGAAGAATTAGAAAGAAATATATACTCTGGTCTACTGGTAATGCATACTTACTTCTAAAATTGACGATTTGGTCGGTCAGCTCCCATTTCCTCAACAACGAAGCAACTTTGTCGTCCGCCATTTCACCGCTGTGTACTCAGGTTGGTTGGATACTAGATCTATATAGGGCCAGGGCCTTTATCGTATGCATGTATTATGCACACATGTTTTTTATCCTATGCGGCCGCGTGCTGTGCAGGGCTTTTCGTGGAGGCAGTGTAAATCTGGGAGTGCAATTTACTCAGAGTTAAGTAAAATTTAATGCCACTGGAGCAAACTTTACTCATCAAGAATGAGCAAAACTAAAAATAGACAAAAATTGGAGCAAACTTTACTCAACAAGAATGAGCAAAACTTAAAAAGGAAAAAAAGAGTAAATAGTCAGAGTTTGCTCAATATAGGAGACTTGTACGTTGTAAAAAGTACATTATTGCTCAATATTGAGCACTCTTGTGTTTACCTCGGCGATATTTTACCCCATGGATTTAGAGTGTGGAGAACTAAACACACATTGCTGCCTGATCAAACGAAGGCTGGTCAAGGGTCATAGCACAAAAACCTCGTGTTGAATGGCATAAAATCATTTGTGTGCACCAGTATGAGTAATCACATAAAAGATCATCATGGCTATTATTAGAAACAGATCTGCACAACATGTTTATACCAAGGATGGTTGCCGTAAACTTGAATGAACGTGATGAGACGATCACTGTAATGTGCCTTCATCAATATGGTTCATATCGCAGCTTCCATAGTAACGTAATACACAAAGGCAAAGGCAAAGGGTTCTGGCCGCTTAATAATATTACATCTTTCCAACGGGAACGCACACAATAACGCCGTTATAATATTCTTATTAGCACCACCGTTGGTGCTTGCAAACCTATTACTTGCCCTGAGTTCATATTTGTATAGAATTGAATGACGCCATGCAATTCTGAAACGCTCTGATGAGCAGGCATAAGTGTGTTTGTATTGCGTTCAAGTTCATTTCTCTCGATTTGAACTATCCACAATGCCATCGTGTATGGTAGGCTTAAATGTGCAGCATAAGTTCGTTACAGCTAGGCCCTCGCACAAAATTATGTCTAAATGTGTTTAAAAATAATAATAATGATAAAAATATAACTTTTCATGTTTTGTGATGAAGGAGAAATATGGTGGATGCTATTTTGCCTTTTAGGCTATGACAATACCAAACAATCTCTCTGACTCTAGTAAACGCAATAGTACATTGTTCTGCTGATGGCTGCATACATATCATGTTTAAATATATATATATATATAAAAGTATGTTAAAGATTCTTTGTTCAGGCTTCATAAAAAAGCCTTTGCCGTGAACTTACCAATTATTAGTTTCATAGTAAAGAGCAAATAATATTCTATCTAATGATTGTTTGCAGGCACATACCCTTGTCAATCGTTGTACGTACCAGAAACTGACTAGGCCCTCAAGGCTTTGATAACTGTGGTAAAGTGTCAAATTAGAGTTTGCTTGCAGACTTATCTAATAATACCTTAGTTTACCTTTTTTATTTTGTGCTCTAGGAGGGGGGGGGTTGAGTAAAACAAAACGGTGCTCACTGTTGATTAAAAAATAAATAGTGCTCTCTACCCTCCCCCCCCCCCTGTTGAGCAAATACAAATACAAACATTATTTTAGTGCTCACACTACCCCCCCCCCCCCCCCCCCCCCCTCCGCTTATGCGCCACTAAATATCTTCTCACGAATTGGACCCCCTCCCTCGTCGCCGGCTGGATCCGCTCCTGACCTTCTTCATATTAAGCTGACATATATGCCATCAAAGATCGCAAAACTCCAGTTTGGCTGATCATGCAACGGGTATGGGCCAAATCCATAATCACTGCATAGGGCCTATCTACATAACTTATGATCCTTTGAAATATGACATTTTGGGGCGCTATTCTGAAAACTATTGTTCTTAATTATTCTTTTTTTCTTCACCACCGTAAAAAAAAAATGATATTCTGAAAATTCTTGTAGCTTTTCATGAATCTATTTTCTCATTTATTTAACAGTAACACACGAGCGTAAATGAGATTTTAACAAGCGCATCCTTCCCCCATGTCTACTTATCCAATTCATTTGGTAAACTTAATATTAATGCTGGCCAGAAAATATGAGATCTTATCTCAATGACGTGTTGTCAAAAAATACCCTCTGGCCTCTGCCCATTTTTCAAGCGCTCCATCTCGCCTGTATGGATCGAGTAATGGAGTAGTTATCCAATGGGCAGAGGTCCAGAGGGTATTTTTTATTTTCATTTAGATAATGATACTTGCTATGTGTTCAGAATTAATTAAGATTATCAAACGTATTGGATCGCTTGAAATGGGGAAAGTCATCTTCATCATCATCATCATATTAATCATCATTAACAACGACAACATCATTTTTTGCAGAAAGAGTCAACCTTTCATGTGTAGTCAACCTTTCATGTGTAGTCAACCTTTCATGTATAGTCAACAAATGAACGACCTCTTGAGTTCATATTTTGTCAGGGCGCGCGCGAGATCGAATTTACAAAAGTCAAAACACTTCGCCTTCGGGAAAGAAATTGACAGGAAACAAAATAATCTTAAAAAGCCATGTTTTTAGCCACCAAAAGTGCACTTAGGCAGCTGGAAGTTTCCCTCCAATGCTCTGCATGGTAAGTTTCCTCTTACAATTGAAATTACCTTTCAAAAGTAGTAAAGTACACGATCACAAACCCATCTCCGCTACTCTTCTTGCGCAGAGCCAGAGGGTGACCCACATGTGAAAATTTGTGTTAGTCGACGCGTACTATGATGGGGTGGCAAAGCAAAGGCAAAGTAAAGTTCGCGCACATTAAGAACTAAAATTCATAATTTCATATATTCTAAATAGATTCCACATTTATTTAGATCAATTAGGTGTTGAATGCAAAGCAATTTTGTAGACTACAAATGGGTATGTCGGACGTGGCCGTGGGTGCAAATGAAAATTAATCGTCGGAGTAGACTAGACTTCTAGACCTAACTTTCTTTACTTAGGTCTAGGTCTAATTTCTGTGACAGTGTGACTGTGAGTAGATCTAGACTCTAGATCTAGTTTTAGTAAGTATGGTGAGTGTGAATGTGATTTGTGTGATTGCTATCTCTTCTTCTTCTTCTTCTTTCAGTATAGTACGGACCGCCGTTGTCCTATTATCATACCTTGTGCTTGTCAAGTGCCTAGTGACTAGTGTACAGCAGTGCAAGTAAAAGTAGATCCACTGAACGATTTTTCAATTTGGGCTCGTTTTTCACCATTGTTATTGGATATTTTAATGAAAAATGTAATCAGAATAATACATTTCAAATTTCAAGACTCACCGATATTTCTATCAAAAGATACAGCCCCTCAAAAACTCTACAATATTCATAGCATTTTGGTCAGAATGGACGAAGGGCTTCCTCGAAATGTTTTTTATGATATTATTCGAGGGAGCCTTAATTTGCTCCCACAGGTTCCCACGGAGAGGTAGGTAAACAGCATCTCAGATGGGTCCAAAATCACACTTTCCCGCACCCGACCAATATTGGACAGTGGCTTTGATGAATTTTATGATATTTCTTCTAACTACCTACTGAATATAAAAATCGGAGGTAAAAATAAGGAAAATACCAATTTTCTTAACAGACCGATACAGCTCAGCTCCCTTTTCACGTGTACCGTGTGAATTCACGATCTCTACACAATGGTGATGACCTCTGACTGGCGCTTCGTAAATGTGCTGCTTCCGTATAATGTGCTGAATAACACTCATATAGCGCATTATACGGAAGCAGCACAATCACGGAAGTGCCAGTCAGAGGTCATCACCATTGTGTCTTCAGGATCACAACAGATAAAGGTTTGAATCTAAATTTATTTTTAAAAACGTTGACCGATTTTGCAATGCACATAGACTGCATAGGGATGTGTGCCATGTCTATGGGAAGGGTTTTAGCACAAAACCTGGTGCGCGATCAGACACGCTAGTAAAAGGGCTCTACAAGTACTAGACCGAAAGCTTCAGTCTCTATAATCGTCGGTTGTTCCACTGAGACTACGTCTGGCTCCACTAGACCTCCGGTTATAGAGACTGAACGATCGCCTATACCATCGTATGTTGAAGATATCACGGCTAGATTTTAGCCGCTAGGCCCCTCCCACAAACATGACAAACTTGCCACGGCCGTATTGTTATGCCCCCAAAATCCCCCAAAATGTCATTTTACCTCGTCCATATCCAATTTTAAATTAGGCCTAGGCTATAATACATCGGTTCATCCCTTCTAGTCTACGCTGAAGGCAAAATGATTATGAAGGAAAAAACTGTGCGCCATCTACACGTTCGTAATGGCGTTATCACAGTTTTTCCTTCATAATCATTTTGCCTTCAGCGTAGACTAGAAGGGATGAGATTGACGGCAGTGAGAGTTTAACACGGCTTGCAAGATTTTCAACATGGATGTCGATTTTGACCCATAATTTCCTTAAAAGGGACCATTAAACGGATTATTTCAATCAAGTTAGTAAGTGGAACCGATGTATTATAGCCTAGGCCTAATTTAAAATTGGATATGGACGAGGTAAAATGACATTTTGGGGGATTTTGGGGCATAACAATACGGCCGTGGCAAGTTTGTCATGTTTGTGGGAGGGGCCTAGCGGCTAAAATCTAGCCGTGATATCTTCAACATACGATGGTATAGGCGATCGTTCAGTCTCTATAACCGGAGGTCTAGTGGAGCCAGACGTAGTCTCAGTGGAACAACCGACGATTATAGAGACTGAAGCTTTCGGTCTATACAAGTACAAGAATTCTATGTGCAGCTAAAAACAGTCTGAAGCTCAACGGAGCTTAATGACTTTTTAATGTGTTGCACCTTCTGCTTGAAAAGTTCCAAAGAGGTGCAATCTCTAACGGGCAGTAAAGTACCGTAAACAAAAAAAGATGGTAACATTAATTTTACCTTTTTGAGCCCCCCCCCCCCCCCCCCCCTTGAGCAAAAAAATAAAAAAATTGTGCTCATTAAATAAATTTACTTTGTTTTGTCAAGAGGGAGGGGGGAGGGCATTTTCATTTTTTTGTTTAAAAAGGTAAAATTAATGTCAAAATCTTTTTTATTTACCTGTTTTTTGCCGGGGGGGGGGGGATGGGCCCATTAGAGACTCTTAGTCTTACATGTACATACCCTGTCGTTTAGTACATAGTTTTTAATTTAAGAATGGAAACAAAAGACAGCAAAAATTGCTGATCTTTTTCATAATTTCTCACTTCATTCCGAAGGTAATTTCCCCTTTCCATTGGATGTATCATTCAGATTGTTGACATCTTACCTCCTTGAGAATTTGTTTTTGAGTGGATTCAGCACCTTACAAATCTCATGTATTTTTATTATTATTATTATTATTAATAATATTATCAGTATGTAAATAATCAATTGTTTTCTTTTTGTTATTATAGTCACAAACTCCTTACAGAGCCATGCACCCTGGGAAACTGTCCTCATCTTATTTGCAAGTAAGTTAATGCAACACTGTAATTTTATTTATTTCTCGTTTAATTTTCATTTGATACTGGTTGGGATAAATATTTCACTCCTTGTCTTTGATGTCTCTGACTGTTCTTACTGCACATACATGTGCATACACTCATTGCACTGATTTCAAACCTTGGTAAACTTTTTTTTTCTGGTTTTGAGCGCTTCACCTCAGGGTTCCTGGCAGATCTTGGTACATGATGTACAGTATCATGCATCAGCGCCTTTTACTGTCCAAGTATGTTTAAGTTAAATGCAATTTAGTATGTAACCGTGAGCTGTAATTTATATAATGTTTTTCATTCTTTGTAATGGGTGTATCAACTTGACGAGCCTTTCACTGATACATCCTATTTCATTTTCCAATAATTTGTATTTAAATGTTATTACTTTGTTTTACATATTTAAGTTGACTTTTATATGTACATTGTAAATGTTTATAACCTGCTTTTGTTTTTACTGAATCAGAATTTGAAATAAAATGGATCAATCAATCAATGTACAACTTTATTGAACTGCTCTTGCTGTTGCAGCATCCCAAGACAAATAGGCCGGGAGACCAAAGCAAAGCATTAAATGCTTTCACATAGATTGTTGACCTCCAGTCTGCTTACCTTTGACAGTAAATTTGAAACTCGTTACAATAATCTCTGATAAGGCAAGCTAAATTTACTGGTCCCAGCTCTTAACATGCTTTCATTTTTATTTTTAATGTGATATTGCAAGGTAATTTTAACTTGTGATATTGCAAGGTAATTTTAACTTGTTATAACGATTTTCCACTGTATTTTTGTTTGGGAGAATTTTTTCACTGGTCTCTCCCTCTAAATTCTGCATTTTGTTATAATTTGCACCAAATGTGAAATGTGTTGGCAAGAGCTTTACTATTGCTATAGTGCAAAGTAGTCAAATCATTACGGGTAAAAATAATTAATACCTTTTATATATCATGAATCAGAGTTTCCAACATGTCTCGTATTTTAAGATTTCTTGTAAAATTTCTAACAGTATTTTCACTTTCTCTTCTTTTTGCAGGGCATGTGTTGGAAAATACGCAGGCAATGCTTGCCCGGCCTGTCGAGCCCCAGCATGGGCGAAGGACCTGCAGGTCAAGAGAGAGCTGGGGATGGTCGTCCGTCTCTGTCGAAGGCTCCAACGTCTGATCAACACAGAACCTGAACAAATAGATACAGCCAGCATGAAGCTCAGTGAGGACACTGAACCTAATGGGAGTTTGACGGGGGAAAGTGGGAGAGATATAGACGAAGACGATGAAGGATTGAGTTTCATTATGAATGAGGCATCAGAAATGGCTGATGGTTCTGAAACGGAGCCAATGTCTATCTCTGAATCAGATGCAGAGGTTCAGAAACACAGCAAGGTCATCCGCAAGGCACTCCGTCCTGTCCAGGGGTCAGACACGGACTCCTTGTCCGAGTCCGAAACAGGGAAAGCTGACCGACGACCTGGCAAGAAGAGAGAAAAGGTCCTGCAGAAGAAGTTGAGAGAGAAGACTGAGCATGCAGGTGGTGAGAAGCCTGGGTCAAGGACGCTGATAACAGAGAATTCAGAAGGCAAAGAAAATGATGCTTTAAGAAAGAAGGCACCAGGCAACAAACAAAGTTCCAGAAAACCTAAACCATCTACAAACTCTGATGGAAACAACCCCTTTGCAGTGTATGACTTTGAAGCTTCGCCACCGCATCCTAAGACTCGCAAGGGTAGGATGCGGGTCATGCAGCAGACAAAGCGGGAGGTACAACTGAAGAAAGTGGCGGCAGCAAACAAGAAATGGGACTCGGTGTCCAGTGTCTCAGCCTCCAGGAAGGATGGCAGAAAGCATGTTTCCTTCTCTGATGACAGTTTAAAGTCGGGATCAAGTAGCGCTGAGGATAGTGAGAAGAAATCCCATTCAAAGACCAAATCTGTGACCGTGACTTCAGCGACAAAAGAAGCTTGTGGATTGAAGGACAGATCTAAGAAAAGTAAATCTGAGAGTGCTTCCAAACTCACTTCCAGCCCTACAACAACCGGGCAAGGTAAGGGAAGGAGTAAGAAGAGTGTCAAGTCTGGCATGAAAGACAAAGAGCAGTCCTCACCTACAGTCTCCAAGCCACAAAGCCAGAAAGGAAAGAACTCTAGGAGTCAGACTGGTGAGTCTCCGTCTGGTGACACTGGTGATTTGACGCCAGATCCTTGTCCAAGTGTAGCTAGGGTTGGCCAGAAAAGAAGATCACCAGCATCTGTATCAGAATCATCAAGTGGAAAAGCCAGCTCTTCTCCAAACAGTGTTGGCAAGAAACAGAAAACGGTTGAACCAAGTACTCCGACAACCAACAGCAGAGTGGGACAGAAAAGGAGGCTTTCAGGAGGAAGGATAAGGATATCACTGAGCCCAAATTCATCGTTTGGTTCTCCAAAGCCAGCCTTGATGAAAAGAAACAAGAGAGGGGAGACGTCACTGCATGTAGCATGTATAAAGGTAAGCATTGAATGTGTGATCATACATGTACTTCAGTCAGATACCAGGTAGGTGTTTCACAAAGACTAAGATCGACTTTAAGTTGGACTTAACTATGGCAGGCCTTTCAGGCCACTCTCAAAGGAGGTGCAAATCATGGTCACTAGTCTACAGAATTTACAATTTTTGATAATCCATTATTGAAGGCAAAATACTATCTAAACAAATTCTAAAGATCATAATGGTGAGAGCAAACAGTGGCATGAACAGCCTGCCATAGTTAAGTCCAACTTGAAGTTGATCTTAGTGTTTGTGTAACACCCCCTCCCCCCAGGTATCACTTTCAGGCTCTAGCTTTCTGAGGATTGAAAGTATCAGAAATATGGGGCCAACAAGTTTGCATTTTGTTATACAGGTTGGCCACCAGGTTTTAAAAAAAGTATATATGTATGAAACTCTTTTTACCCTGCAGGTATTGTATCAAGTTTGAGGCATGTTTTCTCTTGTCCCTGATGTATTGCTTGTGAGTCATTCCTGAAGGATAAATTAAACACTCATGAAACAAACAACTCTCACAGTGTTGCCCCCCCCCCTCCAACCATAACAAGAAAAAGAAAAGAAAAATGTTTAAAAAACAAAAACAAAATGAACCTTAATTTCTTTGAACTACTGTAAACGCTGTTATTTTCGCGTCATTAATTATTCGCTGGGCGACCCAAAAACATATTTGTTGATTCTTAAATTCGCATTGCATGCAATTCAGCCTGTTCAAAACATGCATAAGAAGTCATGCCTATATTTTTGCGAGTTCTAAAATTCGCGCTTGCCGATCTTAGCGTGAAATCCGCGAAAATTAATGTACCTCAAAAGTTCGCAAATATTCCTACTTTTACAGTAATGTGTTGGCATATATTTTTGTAGTACTAATAATATTACATCCCTGCATTATTTTATGCTTTATTGTTTCTTTCTTGTTCCTAAAAAATATCAAGGGTGATGAGAATGAAGTGAAGTCCCTCCTGGTGCAAGGTGCTGATCCAAACTCTAAAGACAATGCTGGCTGGACTCCATTGGTAAGAGATTGTACCATAATCTGACTAACTTACTTTCCTTTAGTCGAGTCCTTCCAGTTTCTTGTGATATGATAGACCAGGGGAGTGTTTCACAAAGACTAAGAGTAGGGACTTTTAGATTTGCACGTCGACAGCTTTGACCGCAACGTGTGACGTCATTTTAAGGCACTGCGCATTTGGTACGTCGTCTCAGTCGACGATCGAGAATGCGTCAACCTTGATTTTCCTAAATCTAGTACATACAGTACATACATACATGTTGATATTTAAGTAGCGCCTTTACATGCTCAAGGTACTAGTATGCCGCGTGCGCATAAAATATACAGTTCCTCAGGTAGACAAAGGAACATCCCTTCCCTGCTATTATGTAAAAATGTGTAGAACAGGTGTCACATGCATATTCACCTGTTAAACACATTTTACATAGCAGTGAAGGGATGTTCTTTTGTTGAAGGTAGAATGAGGAACTGTATATTTTGTCCTCTTTAGCTTTCTTTGTCCGTTATGTTTATAGTGTTACTTCCTGCATGCATGTATATCGTCAATTGCAATCTAAAACATTTCTAATTGTAGTCAACATGGGCAGTTAAGTACGTTGACACGCATGATCAGTCGGCGTTCGTCGTGTTCTCGTCCACTCAATCTAAAAGTCCCTATTGACTTTAAGTTAGACTTAACTATGACAGGCCATTCATGCCACTAGTTCCTCTTAATACATGTACAGGTTCCTTTTTGATTTCAATGAGAGCCCATATTCAAGGAAAACAACAAGTGTGTTCTTTATAGACAGGTGGTCTTCTATACAGGTTGCCGCTCAAACGTGTTTGATTGTAACTGGAAAGATGGTATTACTTTCTCTTTAAGGACCTCACCGGTACTTGGACTCTGGTCTCTTGATTTTAATGGCTCTAGCTCTTGTTTACTTTTGTTGTTGTTGACACATTACTGTTTTTGTTTTCAGCATGAAGCGTGCAACCACGGTCACACAGTCTTAGTGGGTCTTCTCCTGGATCACAATGCTCTGATCAACGCCCCTGGGTTTGAGCATGATACACCCCTTCATGATGCAGTCAATAACAACAGGATCCCCGTCATCAAATTCCTAAGAAAGAGAGGTGCTTCATTGGAAACCAGGTAAGGTTTATTTCTACCTATCGGTTTTGTCCTATACGTTGCCAGCTACAACTGTAGTACTATACTTTGTGATCCCTCCCCCCTACATGTATCGCTAGGCTCTGACCAAATGATGATAGTAATAATATTATTCCGTTCTTGTATAGCACATGTTATCACATTGTGATATAATGTCACTATGGCCTTCCAAAGAGTTTTTCAGAAATTATTACCCTGGCTTTAACTCCAGCAGCCATTATCAGCGCACAGTGCATTTCAAGGAATAATCCTACAAGGTACCCATTTCATCACCTGGGTGGAGTGTGGCCGAAGGCAGATTAAGGTCTTGCCAAAAGACGTAAGTGCTGTGCCAGGGATTTGAACACTGTGGCGTGTACCTTGTGGTTCACAGTCCGGAGACACATCCACTATTCCATAACACCATTTTCACAGTCCTCTTAGTTTCTTTTGCATTGAAGCATGGAATAGGAATGTCTTTCTCTTGCTTTCTGTCACAGTTAAACTTGTTACCTGGTTACTAACAAATAACTAAAATTACATTTCATATGACAAGTTTTTCAATCATATTGCTGCTTTTCATTGTTCATATGAAATCTATTTTAATATTTCTACATGTAACTTTCAAATTCATAAAACCATGTTAAGAAGCCTTTCTTCTAAAAAATATTTTTTTGAATCGTTCAAACTGCATACAGCGGTAAGAATGGTAAATTGTATTAAAGTTAAAGTTGAGTTCTGGTCATGCGATTGCATTGTGAAAGACACGGTGTGATTCGATCAAAAAAGGTTGATCAGCTAGCATATAAGTACTGGTGTGTACTGCAAGGTTCTGTAATCATCAAAATGATAAGAAATTTGGCCCAGTCTTGGTAAACTTACAAGTACTGAACACAGAAAGATGTATATGGGACTACACGAACATGTGGCATAAAATTCGGTGGTGATTTTTTTGCTGTTACATGCCATATTTAGAATATGAAGGCATTTGAAGACCCATGCTTTTTAGGGAACATGTTTTATCTGATGTTCTTCCACACTTGCATAATAACAATGATAACACTCACAAATTATTTTTCACCTCTTCCCAGAACTCAACCTTCTCTTTTATAAATGACTTTTTTCTTCTTCACTCCAGGAACATCCACGGTCTGACTCCACTGGACCTACCCGCAACACCGGCCATCAAGGAAGCTCTACTTACCCAACCCCTATCAGAGGTCAACAATTCACCTGTCCGCACCCCAGTCACAGCCCCATCACAGCATCTACAGGATCGACATGTCGTTCTTCTGGGAACAGGTACATTTATAGGGTCACTCGTGGGGGTATTGGGGGGAGGGGGGCATCCCAAACGTGTCACCATCCATTACAATGCGTGTCTAACTGATAGACTGTATTGTGTCAGTCATTGGGTTGGGGAGAGAGGAGAAGTTAGTCTACCCCTAAATTTCCACTGCTCAATGACTACACCTACAGATTATTGACAGTCCAAATAGCAATAGGTGAAATAACAGGAGCTTTATGGGTAGTAGGTTGGGCAAAGGGTGAAGGGTTACACCCTTACAGGTGAGACAGGTTGTTCTTCTATCAACCGGTTAGCTGATGGTGTCAGCTTAGGGGCGGGGGAGGTAAAGCGGAAGTGTTTAATGGAGCTTACTGGAACTACATACGTGTATGTGCTTTGATCTAAGGATCATTGCCCTGGGTTCATTTGTTCCGAAGTACTACCAAGACATGTGATGGTTGTGGGTTTGACCCCCAGCTGATATCTGTTGTCCAGTTAATAATTTTCTAAGACCAGTAGAAGTGTAAAGCTATATCTTATCATGATATCATCAATTGAGCAATCCTGTATTTATTTAATTTTTATAAAAATACAGTTGAAGCAAAATAAATATTCTATTCAGCAATACAATAAAAATACAGAGCAATCACTATCATCTGCAATGTATCAATTTTGTTTTTATTTTAAAATGTATATAAAATGAAAAGAACATATTATTAAAGTCTTTGTTGTTGTGTATGTAATTTCCCAGGTCTGAAAGCCAGGGAGAAGATGGCCTTACAGACATGTAGTGATCTCTTACAAGGGAGGGTGGTTGATGAGTTCAGCCCGGAGGTGACCCATCTAGTAGCAGCCTGTGAGGAGGATGGTCAATGTCTTCGGACCATGAAGTACATGCAGGCTGTCCTGGCAGGACGATGGGTGGTGTCCTTCAAGTGTAAGTCTATCATTACAGAACGTTGGTACCTAGAAGGAATTCAAAATCCTTGTATGTCAGATACTGAGAGTGGTATCCTCGAAAGCGGACTAACTTGAGTCCATAGTTTAATCGACCGACTAAGTATGGAATGCCAAGTGTCCATATGAATATATTTTGGAATAATTTGATATGTCCCTAAATTACCATGATGAAAAAATTGTATCACAATTATATTGTTGTTTATTAATTATGTAATTACATTTTATTTTAATTTAGTGACAGATTAGAATATTCAAAAATATATTCATATGGATCCATACTTAGTCAGTGGATTAAACCATGGACTAAAATTAGTCCACTTTTGAGAATACTACCCTGAATCTCTTTGACTGTTCCGTAGACAAAGTGTGTGTAACAAAGTTCAATGAAAGTGCTCTGTTACTTGTTTGGAAAGTTGGCAGAGGTGGAGAAAGAGTCATAGCTGTATTTGAATTTTACATCCCCTATGAATATGTCTTGCTATCACTGATACATTTCAATTTCTATGTATAATTGATGAGGTGGTTGCCCTCACTGGTGCTTTTGAAGGTGTTGGGGCATCTGCTCTCTTGGCTTAGAGAGGCCACTGGCATATATACAAACACATTGACAAACACATTGACAACATTTGCCATTCCAAATAAAAAAGAACACATTCTGATATGTAATGTCAGATTCTAACAAGCCACCTCAATTTGTTGATGACATTTGTATGTACATGTATGTTGTGGATTAGTGGATTACTCACCTGACTGCAGATCAGAAGGTACAGGGTTCAAGTCCCGCCGCGGCACTAATGTCCTTTGGCAAGACATTGATCTACATTTCCCACTCTCCACCCAGGTGTAAATGGATACCTGATATGCTTGAGCTCTACTTACTTTGTCAGCTCGGCTACGACCAGGGTAGTATGTGCAAAGCGCCTGGAGCGTCAGAACCTATAAATAACCATATTATTATTATTATATGATACCATGCCTTATGATTCTCTCTTTTAAAAACATCTGCAGGGGTTAAGGAATGCATCAAACTTGAAGAGAGAGTAGAGGAAGTGGAGTACGAGATTCCTGGAACATCAGCTGACCCTGAGAGTAACACTGCAAGAAGAGGACGGGAAAATGTTCAGAAACAGGTACATTGGAAAGATTATTTAGTATATAGGGATCATCTTCTCTTATACTTAGTCTTGTATTCTTGGTTTAGTGTCCTAAATTTGTAACCACCGATGTTAAAGCCTCACTGTCCTACTTGTAGCTACTTGCTCCCTCTATATAGAAAACTTCCCAAAACGGTGCCTGTTGGTCCCCCATGATCCTCTTTTTCTTATATTAGTTGAGAGCTGAGTTAATGAGATAGCCACCTGTCAGTGCCCACGCTGTGTGGTCTAATCCCTTCTGGCCCAGTAGTGTTGACGGTCTTTAAAGGGATCCGGTAACTTTGTCTTAGATCCTTTAAAAAAAATCCTTGATTTAGCTCATGCTGCAATGACAATTATAAACCTTTAGGTCAGTGAGGAACCCCATGACTTTTACAAGCCGATTGCCTGTCTGATTATCAAGATATTTATGATTGAAAATCGAAATCAAATTTTCTTTTATTCTCACAGTTCCCAGGATTGTTTGATGGCTGTCACTTCTACTTTAGCGGAACCTTCAAGCATCCGACGCCTCCCAAACCAGAGCTAATCCAACTCATTAAGCTCGGAGGAGGTACCATCCTCAATCGTCAACCTAAACCAGATGATGATGTCATTCAGGTGTCGACCGTCGTTCCTTACCACGCCCGCACGGAGTCGCAGTACGCTTCTTGCGCGTACTACGTTGTTTATGACCATCTAGGGAAGAGAGCGCCATCTAGCATCAGAACGCAGAAAGTCTGCACTATACCTGTTTACTGGCTGTTGGACTGTGTATCTCAGTTTACATTATTGGATCCACCAAAGGAATGAACTTGAAATAATGATAATAATGATCATTATTTGGTATCATTATCATGATCATTCAGATCCATTCTAAGCGATGCTCAGTGCCCCTGGATTTAGCCCAGCTGCTCCAATTCCCTGAAGCATTCAAGGATGAACATCCCTATCTAGTACCCATTTACTACACCTTGATAGAGAGTGGCAAATTGAGAATAATTGCTTGCCAAAGGACTTTAATTCTGGGCTGGAAGTTGAACTGCAGACCATGTGATGCAGAGTACATTCCTGTGACATATCCACTTGATCATGACAGCTCTATTCGTGATTCTCAGAATATAGATCATTCTTGAATATTATGTTTGTGAGACCTGTGTAGCAAGGTTGCAGCACATTGTCATTTGTTGATTACCATAGATGAATCATGAACACTATTCATTGCATGTAAAGAAATTTAATGTAATACATGTATTTCACTACCGGTAAACATTTACATGTGTTTGTTTTATCTTTTATTGCGTATACTTTCCTATTCAATGTCCTTGTTCTAAAATACATCTTCAAGTGGAATCCTGCTTCTGTTAGGAATATCATGATATCAAAGTGTTTTCGTCATTACTTTACATAATCACTTTGGATGCTAATATTATGGGCAGTATTGGAATGACATCCTTCATCCTTCTTTTCTTCTCTTTTTGCTGCTCATTTGCTTGGCATTTATAATAATGATAATAATATTTAGCTTTTATATAGCGCTTAATACAATGTCTCTAAGCGCTTTACAAATATACTATTACCCCGGCCATTGGATTCAGTGCTTGCCCGCACACACTGTGCACAATCTCCACTCCCTGGGGAGCATTCCAGCCAGGCGTTACTTGATGCTCAAAAACTGTTTGACCATCAATAGCTTTTGCATTCATATTGATCTACATGTATATAATCATATAAATAGTCTTGTTATTATATTTGAAGGCATGTGTGAGTAATGTTAGTAACATAATTAAAAGAGAAAATGTGGCTTATTTAGTTTTTCAGTATGCAAAAAATGATGCCTCCGATATTGAACATTTGATACAATGAAGCTAAGATTATATTCTGTTATTTACAAAGAAAGCATTTGCTACACTAAGATAAAGATTCACATGGCCTGAATGGCTCGAATTCCCCAACTGGTACTCTACAGATGAACATTAAAGTTGTTATTTTACGAGCTGATATTATTTTAAATGTTGAAATTAATTTCTGTGTTTGTTTCCTGTCTCCATTAACTCGACAAGGAGTTCTAGTCCCATAAGTGATTCATAAACTATATGGATTATGACGGTATATTCTACACATCTTTTGTGTATTCGATTGTTATAGCGCATATATTATAATATGTACTGAATTTATGTTTAATAATGAGCTCATCATTGAAATATAAAGCCTTGTTTCTAGTTATTCTCTGTCATGATTGTTGATGGGTGTTTTAACATTTGCTGCAGTATCAATTACTTCCGGCTTTATTTCTTCGCAGGTTAGGGTTTGAACCGGCTTTTCAGTTACGTTTATTGTTATGGGTGGGTATAGTGTTGGGTCTAGGGTTGAAGTGAGGTATAGATTCTGAAATTACTGCAGATAAATTGTCTGTGGTGGAAGTGGATTGAGGTGGATGGGTCATGTGTGGAGAAGGGAAGATGATGAACCTGTGAAGAGAGCGTGGGATTTGAAAGTGGAAGGCATAAGAGGGTAAAGGAAGACCATCAAAGCTTGAAGCTGTCATTGGTAAAACACAAATAGGCAACACTGTAATGTATCTTGCGAGCTCCTCTCCGGGCCAATCTGTCATGTACAGAAAGTCATAACCTTTCACTTTATTGCAATAATTATATTTAGGGTGAATGCATGATTAAAACAGGAGGAGAACCCACAAGATACGTCACAGAGTTGCCAAACACCTTCAAACATTCACACAACTTTCATATCATTATTCACTTTTTTGCTCAAACTTTAACTAAAATGTTTCTCTCATTTTGCTGCTTCCATTTAAAACCAACTAAATATCAGGATTGACTTCCCCTTTAATTAGAAACTACATGCGAATGAAAATTAATGCGAATTAATGGACCGATTCAGTGTAAATAAGGGCAAATCTAAAGTTGATACAGCAAACTAGTTTACAATTGCACAACACATACCTGAACTTTAAACCCGATTAGCACACAAAGAAAGAGAAGTAGGTGTATTACTATGGCAGTAAACATCAAGTACAAGTGTAACACGTCAAATATCTTCGTGTCATGAAAAGACTTTTTTTAAAGGAGAGGGCCCGTCAGTTTCCATGTGCAGATATGCACCTATATGTGCCTATAAACAAATTTCCCCTTGTCTCTCTGACAAGTGAGATGTAATCGATCAAACCGGAGTTTCCAAACTTTTTTGAGGAGTTATTTTTCCTTTCATTGAACTTGAAGTACCATGGTCCTATAGTATAACCATTGTTAAAGGCTTATGTTTATTTCTAAATGGGGGTAACCATGATTATTCATGCACATTGCAACCCTATGTTAGTTTGTTGTGCAACATATGCCACTAACTTCAAGCAACTGAGAGCATTTTTGTTCTTGAATTGCCCCAAAACTTGCTTGCTACGCTCGCTTGCATATACGGTAGGCCTTTTTCATTAAGTAATACTTTTAAAGGTCTTATTTATTACTTTGACATTATGATATTGTTTTTAAAACCCGTCAGGATTGGGGATTTTATCGAAAGATGTCATCTATGGTTTTTGCTCGCTTTCTTCGTTCGCTCGCAAATAAATCTACAGACAATCACACACATATGCAAAGTATGGTGCTGTAGCAGTAAATAGGAAAATGTTGACGATCATCCCTGATACTATGCAGGGGTGTACACCAATGTCTAAAACTTATGTTTTTTCCGCTTTGCGGTTTCCCTTTGTAGGTACCTCCTTCTTTCACCCGTACTTTGAATGAGTCCGCCACCCCCGCCGTGCGTCATTGATAGTACCATCACGAATACACATTGAGATAATGTTAATCCATGCGAGTGAGGCATTGTTAAATTGCTTTTATAATCCTCGACTTGATCTAGACTTGCTGACGCTGTGTGCTATTACTTCAGAGGTGGCACTCCGGGGGACGGAGGGGGGATGTACCCCTAAAAATTACCCCAAAGTGCCTACATTATTACATAGGAAAAGTGCCTCCATTTACTTCAGATAAGTATCCCTTTTTATGATAGGTGCCTGTTCCATATATTTATAAATGCCACTAACCATATCTGATAAGTACCGCCTTATGTCTGATAATTGTCTCTATTCAATGCTGAGAGGTGCCCCTTTCCCCTTCTCATTAATGTCCCCTTTTCACCTCTGATAAATGCCCTTATTGAAATACGATAGGCGATCCTTTTCCTTCAGTAAATGCCCCCTTTCTTTTATAATGAATGCCCCTTTTCCTTCCCGATAAGTGCCCCTTTTCATGAATGTATGATAATCGCCCCCTTTTTCATTTGTGTTGTCCTCGGGAATCATAAAATAATAAATATTGACGTGGAGTAGCATTAGTATAGTAATACTGGCTGGATGTACAAGAGAACTATGACCTTATACACGCCTTTTCCCTCCTTTTTTGGTAGGTGAATCCGTGGGATGAGCGCGCTTGCCTGCACTCGATCAAAGGTAAAATATTTGTTTTAGGCTATGTAAAAACGATTCCTAGTTTCTCGTCCGGAATTATCGAAAATGAGGAGAGGGTATTTCCTATTTTGATAAGATGGCCGCATATACAAATGCGTATGGGGTATGGAGGAAATTCATGCTTATTGGCCCGAATTCACAAAGCAAGGTTTGAGCTCAAACCTCCTTTTGTTTCGCCAAACCTCCTTTCGTTATTTACAAAAGGAGGTTTGGCGAAACAAAGGGAGGTTTGAGCTCAAACCTTGGTCTGAGCTCAAACGTTGCTTTGTGAATTCGGGCCATTAAGTTCACACACCCAGTTTGAATCATTTACTGGTTTAAAAACCGACACTCAAGACCCCAATTAACACAACAACAAAATCAGGATTCAGTTCGAGAACCGCTAGTAATTCCAGGAGATCTATTTAATTCACGCTGCAACATTTGACACAGATGGGACTGACAACTCATATGACATCGTGATAAACTTCTTGCATGTTTTTCGACTTAGATTCAGTTCCTCGTTAAATACACTTTACAATGTTAGTTTGATACGTAAAATTAATTTCGAAATAAGTTATCAATACATAACTATGACTTTTCTCTTAAATGTATTTTATATCTACATCTAAGATATTAACGATTGTCTAATTATTTTGAAATAAAAATATCGAATAACAACACAAACAATAACCCCCAAAAGGCGGACCCCCGAAAAATGCTTGCGGGACGAGAAACTAAATTTTACTAGGCCTTAGTGTGGAAAAATGTCCCTTGAAAAGAATTGCGATTCATATGGTTCACGCTTAATGGATTCCTCTTTGTGTAGTGTAGTTAGGTAGTGACACTATCTTGATATTGACACAAGTTTTCCTAACTATTCGAGACATTACATATTTCAATTTCTTTCGCTTTTGGCATACACAATAACTGGTGCACAATGACAATGTCTCTCTCTCTCTCTCTCTCTCCCCCCTCTCTCTCTCTCTCCCTCCTTCAGCCATCCAATCAGTCATTATTTTTCTCTCTGTCTGTTTCCCGGCTGTTTTCTCTCACTCACATTCACTCGAACACGCTATCACTTAATCACTCTCTTACTCTCACCCACTCACACAATCATTTTTTTTTTCTCGCTCTCCCACTCGCTCGATTTCTATCTCTCTAAATTGATATCTTTCTTTTATTCATACCTATTCAACAAACTCACTCAAACTTTGTTCTTTTCTATCTCTCCCCCCCCCCCCCTCTCTCTCTCTCTCTCTCTCCCTCATTCTTCTATTGACGCACACACTCAGTTGAACCCTCTGTTCATTCGCCCCATCCAGCTTATCGTGCATGGTACCGGCGTACAACCCCACCGCCCTAGCCACCCCCACTACCCCAGCCACCGCCCTCACCCCTAAATACTTGAAGATGCAGCGGAAAATATCTACGGAAATTGCAGTGAAGCCAGTGGTTTTGCCCTCGGCATTGGGCTTGATTAAAACGTATAAGGCGCTATCTCATTTTATCAACGGCTGGTTCAAATTATCGAATATTTATGGATATTTCAGCCGTCTCTGAACCGATTTCGATCAAATAAAGATGATTTTGTCATTTAAATTGTATGTCCTTTTAAATTTGACACTCAGTTATTCATTTTCTCACAAAATAATTAATTTGTGAAGTGCCCTCTGCAACAAAACTCAAATGTCCCTTTATTTTTTATTAATTTTCTCAAGAGTTCGAAGTATATATAAAGCTGTCTAATATACATTTTAAAGTTCGATGTAACACACATGATTGTGTATGGCGCAATGAAAAAGAAAAGTGCGATTTACTCTAAATACATAAAAGTACGTATATTTCGACACCACGAAGATAAGTAGGCTTACTAACCAAACAGGCAAAAGGTACAATGCCCCAAATGTTAGCAGAACGACCTTTTCCCATTTTAGAATATAAACGTGCTCACTTTCAAGTCTATCAAATTAATGTCCTTTCTCTATAAAAGTCTTTTTTTTTAAATACACTTTTAATACCCTTTAAACTACATTGACATATTTTGAGGTTACCATTTGCAGGTGCCCCCTTCTTTTTGAAGAAAGTG